AAAAAAAAAAAAAAAAAAAGACTTTGTCTTAATTGCCTCATACCAAAAATAATACATAATAAAATCCATTTCACTTCTTCCTCATTCCCCAGAGATAATCACTATCCTGAAACTGATGTATATCTTTCTCATGTATTAGTACTTTTGCTACATATCTAAGACTTTACAATGTTTTTAAATTTTACATAAATGGTATCGAAACACGTATAATCTTTTGCAAGTTGCTTTCTTCATTTAGCATTATGTTTCTGAGATAGGCTAATGCTAATGCAGATCTAATTCATTAATTTTAGCTCCTGTATCAGTCGTATTTATTCCATTCTGTGAATTAACTACAGCTATTTATCCATTCCCTTCATGAAAATAAGGTTGCTTCTGCTCTGTTTAAATAACTTTTTGTTGTTCTTGTTTGCGTAAATAAAATAGAACTACAATAAACATCTTCACTGGGTATGGTGGCTCAAGCCCGTTGTACCAACTACTCAGGAGGATCACCTGAGCCCAGAAATTTGAAGCTACAGTGAGCTATGATCGTGCCACTGCACTCTAGGCTGGGTGACAGATCAAGACCTTGGCTCTAAATTTTAAAAATACATAAACAAACAAACGAGCAGCTTAGTCCTTGTTTTTCTGTGCACACATGAGGAAATTTTTCCAGGGAAAGAAACCTAATATTGGAATTTCTGGATTGTTGGATATATATCTTCAACTTTACCAAGAACTGCCAAATTATCCTCTAGAGTGGTTTCGATTGACATTCCTATAAACAAACAATAAAGAAATCCCACTTTCAGCATCTTCCGAAAAATTTTTAAATTTTTGACAATCTAATGGGTATTAAATGATAGTCTTGGCCAGGCACGGTGGGTCATGCCTGTAATCCCAGCACTTTGGGAGGGTGAGGCGGGTGGATCACTTGAGGTCAGGAGTTCAACACCACCCTGACCAACATGGTGAAACCCTATCTCTACTAAAAAAAAAAAAATTACAAAATTAGCCAGGCATGGAGGCATGGCGGCGCATGCCTCTAATCCCAGCTACTTGGGAGGCTGAGGCAGAAGAATCACTTGAACCCCGGCAGCGGAGGTTGCAATGAGCCAAGATCACGCCATTGTACTCCAGCATGGGTGACAAAAGCAAAACTGTCTCAAAATTTAAAAAAAAAAAATTTTTTTTTAAAGATACTCCATTGGATGGCTGGGCGTGGTGGCTCAAGCCTGTAATCCCAGCACTTTGGGAGGCCGAGGCGGGTAGATCACAAGGTCAAGAGATCGAGACCATCCTGGTCAACATG